TTTGCTTACACTTATTTACGCCACTGGTGCCTTGCAGTTGTTAAATCAGGTGAAAGACAAAATTGAGTTCTCATCCTCCAGGATCTAAATCAATTCATTAAAAATTGCTGTCATCATCCATACGTCAAATACTAGTTTTACAACTCCATATTCAAGAAAGAAATATTAATAAATATAAGAAAAAAATTACACTGGAATATTTTGATCAGATTAAACCAACGACGAATGGAGCTCGTTCTACCGGAATGCTCAACTTTCATAGAGGTGCCGGCACCTAGGCGAACACAGTTCGAAACTAAGGCTTCCGCGCTTCTTGTGGAACGGTATGTGATACACATGGATGCCTAGGCTAACGCCTTACCCCAAATCGAACATAGTTGAAAATTTTGAAATATTTTAGAAAGTAACTTATGAGGTACAGTAATTTTTTTTAATTTAAATTGTCAAGAGATTCACGCACTATAAATTCAAGCCTCAAAGCTGTCTAACTGAATCCTATGTTATCAAGGTAATTTTAAATCAATAGGTCTCACGTGGTGAACAAAAACCAGGGCTGTGGAGTCGGTAGGGAAAATGACCGACTCCGACTCCTAGAATTTTAAAGACTCAGACTCCCTCATATATATATATATATATATATATATATTACACATGGGCTACAGCTTGTTTTTTAATATAAAGGAAGTAATAGATGCTACAGAAAAAAATTGATAGCATAACAAATTGTTTATATTAATTAGAATTTATTATGAAATGGAAAAACTAGCATTAGTTATTTCTAAGAAACAGTATAGCTTCGGCAAGATCTTCTTTGTTGGAGGGCCATAGATCCGATTTGATAAGCTTCAGAGCTGATAAGAGTCTTTCCACACTAACTTGAGTAGGAGGAAGAGCTGTTACTGTTAGGACTACTTTCTTTAACATTTCAGAATAGATTTTTATAAGTTCTAAAAGAGGTGTATTGCAAGCGCAATCATATTTCTCTATTTCTTCAAAGGCCGTGTAGAAATCGCGTTTGTATTTTTTCATTTTTGCAGCTAAAGGCTCTTGGTTCTTTATTTTCATTCGCTTTGACTTAACCTTTTCAATATTATCCAAAAATATTTCTCAAATTCTAATTCAGCACTGAGGATGATAGAGATTCAGTTGCAATGGCTGCAGCTTGACTGTCCTGATTCGAATTCTCCAGTTATTCTGAGAATAATTTCATTCTTAATGAAAGTTCATAGACGGCTTTCTTTGCTTTTTTGATTTGTTCGTCATCCAAGAAAATTCAGTGTTTCGAATCTTCATATATTGAACCCAGCAAGATCTCATTGTCTAGCAAACTAGTTCTCTTCTCTTTTCTTTATTGAAGAAGTGAGTCCTTCTGCAATAAACTCTCCATTTCAGAAAGAACAAACATTACATTCTCCCATTCTCGCCTCCTGTCAATTCTTCAGATTGCAACTTTTTTGTGGCTATATACGGTAGAAAGAAGAGTTTCCAATTCTGCAAGATCATCCCACAGTCTTTCTAATGGTCAAACATTAGGGTTATCTGTATCTTATAAAATGTTATTAATTCTAAAAATTTCATCATCATCAAATACGCACTTCCTTATCGCGTTGCTTGATCAATAATTGCTCCTTTTTCTGCTCGCTTCCTAAAAATGGCATCAATTTTGGGAGTTCTTGCTGCTATTGCTGCTTACCTAAATTTACCAGTGAGATTTGTAACTAAATGAATCAGTTTAAGCACTAATGGCAAATATCACAACCATCCTCCTCCCGTATATTTATTTATTAATATGTCAATAATTCATCACTGAGGATTCATCCCTTAATCACTATTTATTAATGAATATAATCTATAAATAAAACTAATAACTCAGCTTGTCATTAATTTTTTCAATTCATTTTAATTTCATTTCAAATTCAAACTGTCCAACAAAAACTGGAGTCGGAGTCAACCTGTTTTTAGCGATTCCAGTTCTGACTCCTTTTACCCCCAAATCTGCCCAACTCCATGACTTCGACTCCACAGCCCTGGTAAAAACTTCTCAGTGGAATTATGCCTAGTTCCGCATGAATTGCATTGTTTCTAATATAGTACGGTGCCTTTGTAATTTGCTGCAGAACAACATTCTGGGCAGTTTGGAGTTTTTGCGTAGAGTTTTACATGAATACGCCCAGATTGGACAAGCGTAACAGTGCATGGGACGCAGTATGTATTTATAAATGAGTTATTATCTATAGACAGAACGCTGTTTCGAGCAATGAAGGGGTTGAGTTAAGCTTTACGAACCCGAAACTTCTGAATACTAGAGTGAATATGTGCGAGCCATGTGAGAGAATTTGTGAAGATCACTCCAAGATAAGTGACTTGCTTAAGCCAGGAATGTGAGGTTCCAAGAAACTGCAGGTTTTGTTCAACTTTTCTATACTTAATGAAGACCACGGCAATTGTTTTTTAAATGTTGACCTGAATTTTCCAATTCAGTAGCCAGGCCTCTATTTCATGTATGTGATTTCGAAGATGCTGTATGACTGGGCTAAGGAATGTATTTTGAACAAGGACCGCTGTGTCGTCAGCATACATTGCTAGTTTAGTGTTGGGTGTGGTGGGTATATCGTTCACATAAATGTTAAAAGTGTAGGCCCTAGTAGTGACCCCTGGGGGACGCCAGCTGGAACCAGACGTTTAGTGGAGTAAGTGTTAGAAAGGTAAACGACAAAGTGTCTACTTGTTAGGTAGGATTTAATTATGTGTGTAATGTAATCCGGAAAGACCAGATTGTGGATTTTGTATATTAGTGTGTCCATCCAGACACGGTCGAAAGCTTTGGCTATGTCCAGGAATAAACCCCCACTATACTTGTAGTGAATTCCTTCAGAGATGTGTTCCACAACACGATAAAGTTGATAGGACTTCCGAAATCCAAACTGTTGTGGGATCAGTACATTGTTTGCTTCCAGATGATCACGTACTCTTTTGGTGATAACTGCTTCCATAAGCTTGCTTATGCAAGGAAGTAGACTAATAGGCCTGTACGACCAGGCTCAAATGCAGGTTTATTTGGTTTGAGAATAACGGTGATTTTAGCTGTTTTCCACTCCTGTGGAATGTATGCCATCGAAAATGTTGGTCAGCTTGAATATTAACTTCAGTGGTAGCATCTTCATCTTGTTGTTGATTTGATCAATGCCGGGGCTTTTGTTTTTCTTTAACTTCTTAACATAGCCAATAACTTCCGACGAAGGACTGGAATGATGTTGTTTGTGACTGGGTTTGTTGTGTAATTGTTATGAAATACAGAGATAATCTATTCTGTTGTTGTGTCATGCATGTTGTTTATGCAAAACTGAGATTCCAGATGCGAAGATAAGAGTTCTACTTTCTCAGTTTCGGTGTAATGGATCCTGTCAGGGCCTTTAAGGGGCGGAATATTATTGTAGCATTTTCTATATCTAGAGCATGTTCTCCAGATGGAATTATCATCCGTAGAAAGCGACGTAGGTGATTAGTCCAGTTTTGTTGTGATTGAAAATTTGTTAAGAGACCTGACGGCATCATTCAATCTATTGAGCAGTTGCTTAACTTCCGCGCTGTTGCGCATCCGGAGTAGATGCCATTGTGTGATTTTCCGTTATGTTTTAGAATAGCGTTTCTTGAAGAGCACTTATGATAGCAGATAGCAGCGATTGACATCAGTTGACAAGGTGAACCTACGGCCACCGGCGCTTCGCGAAATTTCCTGACAGCCTCATTATGGTTATCTCATTTCCTGTGGGCTACAGGGACCAATTTCATACGTATTATGGCCATTTAGTCACCTATTTTAAACGAAAGAAGCAGAAAAACCAGGGTCTTGCACTTCCTAATCCATATTAAGGAGTAAATTTTAAATCTTCATAGCTTACTGAAATTTCTTGAGACACATTTAAAGTAGTGAATGTGCGGGACATTTATGTCCCAACCCCATAGAAAAGGATAAACGAGTAATTTCCCATGTTTTGGCACATAAGGACGGGTCTCTGACATTACGTTACACTCGAAAATACATAAACGATTAAAATAAGGTTATATTTTGGGATGAGGCAGGCGTAATATTTGTTAAAGTTTTTAAATAATCAGATCTTAAGTATGATATTATTCATTTACGAAACAGTGCTAAAATATGCCAAAAGCATAATCGTTAATGATTAACTAAATTATCATTATAACAGCATTTAATTCACCGTTAAAACAATATTTTAAAATTTTAATTTTCACAGTTAAACAGTTTCAGAGCTTTGGCGGGGAAAAATCGCGTTTAAATAATTTTGCAACTTATTTTAATAGATTTAATTACACACAAAATTTCCTCATGCTGTTACAAAAAATAATATGAAATACTATTTCAGGAATATAGAGATATTAAAATGTAAAATATCATTCTCCTTTTATTTGTTATTTTTTAGCAGAAAAATTTTTCATTCCGAGTAATTCTGCAAATTAAACGCCTCAGTTGTTTTGTCAGACTTTAATCAGTGAATTTAACTAAGCTATCATTCGGAAGCAATTTCTCAGCGAGAATTATAACAGCATTCAACCCTAACGCGAAATCTTCGAAGTTTATTTACATCATATGGTCAAATAATTTATAAATTCTGCCATAATTCAACTCCAAAGGTGATAAACAGCCAAATATCGTAGCAATTCATCTCTTAGCTAGCGACATGTAAATCACGTGACAATAGACTTCGTAACTGTAATGCCTCATGATAAAGGACAGTGTAGTAATTCTAGAAATCATAATTTCTTTTGAGGTTAAATTTAATCTATAGTCATTAGAAGTACACAATGAGCAAAATTTATGATTGTAACTAACAATAACCATTCGAACACCAACCGTAAAAATACGTTTATGCATTTTCATATACATGAGTGAATTGCAAATGCATACTTTGAATCTAAACATACTAAGTTTTATCTGCAAATTCTTGACCTTTTGCATCTAGGAAACACGTTGGCCAATGAGGAATAAACATCCGGAAGATAGCGGCCAGCTAGAATAAGTACTGATTTATTTTAGCGTTACTTTTTCTTTCTTTGCTGGTTATGCAGTTGTTGGAAATAAGTTAAAGATTTTAATTCGCAGTTTTTAGTAATGTATCCCCAATCCATTTATTCTTTTATTCACGATTAACGTTAGATTTTATATGGATGTTTCTATTTATACTGAATTAAAGCTGCCTATTTAAAATGAATTAAAAGTGCAAGTAAAATTGATTTTTACTATTTTTCTGTCCTGAAAGAAAATGGAATGTGTAACACCGTATGTTTGGCTTCTTATAACCAACCTGTATAGGTTATGCGGCATTAGTATGTTCTATCCTTTATTTTGAAATGACAGAGACTAAGAATTATGAAAATATAACTCGAATAAACGAGATATTAGGATTAATTAATATTCTCATTGAGCAGAGTTTGCTAGTTGTAAAAACTAAATAATTTATAAGTAAAAATTTGATACATTTTTAATGTTTAGAAAAGTTTTAAGAGAGTTTGTACAATTTATATTTCATGCATTGAAAAAAGGGGGGATTTCTTATTATTTTGGGGGAAATAACTTGTCATGTTGTCTAGCTGGGGAAAAGTAATGGAATATGTTACGTATAAAATTAATTAGAACTGATAAGCTAAAAATAATGAAATAAAATCAACCAGAAATTAATTTTTTAGTTTGCCAGATTTAGATATATTCTTAATGAAATGTTAAAATACTGTTTCGAAATATATTATATTTGTTGGATTATTTTCTTATTGCATGATTATGCACTAAGAAAGGACCCCTGCATGTGTAATGTATGTCCATTATTTTCTTTTATTTCTAAAACAGTCATATATGTGTAATATTATTTTTTTCTCCACAGACAGGGCAAAATGTATTTAAAATGCATTTTTTATTTATTTTAGTCTTTATTAAATAGAGTTTAAGATGTTTAATGCAGTAAAATCCGTTGGTGGAAATGAAGCTGAATTAAACTATACAAAATTTAGTAGTCTTTAAAAAAATATATACTTTAGTGATGTATGTGTCAGTGTATAGTAAGAATACACTGCAAAAAATCACGTAAAGAAATCCATAAAAGTCACAGGAGGTTTTAAGCGATTTTATTTTTAAAATTTTTAATTACAGTTGCTTTCTGTAGATGTCACTTCATTTGTAAGAAAAACCAGAAAATATCACACGAGAAATGTTGAATATGGGAGTACTTATTATGGAAGTATACTACCTGAAGACAAGCTAAGATGAAGAAGAATCAACATTTCTATAAGAATCATTGATACACATCATTATTTATCATGTTTTTAGTTTGCTAGTGATGTTGGATGTTTTCTCTGTATCTATGACTTCAGGTAGCACCATAATAAAAAGTCACTGATTTTCAGATCTAAGGATTTATACAAAAATTTAAACAAGTGATAGCTTATTTCTTCATATTAGCTAAACATTGAAAGTAAGAAGCAACATGGAATGATGTGCTATTCTGTATAATTGTTACAAAATACAATGGTTGCCTTATCTCCACATCAGAAGAATGAGTTCTTTTTTATTATCCATCGGCATCCTTATGACAGGTGATACAATCTGTTGTGTTTTGGGTGTATTTTTTAGTATACACGCAACAATAACTAACTCACACATGCGTATAAAAGGAACTTTCCCATAACTTTATAAAAAGATACGAAATAAATTAATTACTTTTTTTGGACACTGAGTAGTTTTAGTTTACCATATTTCATATATATATATTATTTGCGTAAAAGCTACACACAACACTCATCTACGACCACCCCTGATATTATATATACATGCGTGTGTAAATTAAAGCATCCTAAATTACAATTAAATTGGAATCAAAACAAGGAAATTCCCTAACAATATTAATAATTGCAACCGTGGATACAAGGTCTAACACTGTAGCTAAACATAATCAAAGTTAATATAAGAGTTCATCAGTAGAATAAACCCGAAAAATAAAAATGCGAATTGGTAATAAAAATAAAAATTAAAATTAAATTGCTTTGTCGGAAAACCTAATTCAGAACTCATCAGGGGAAAATGAATTAAAGGGCTATAGTGTAGAATTGGGTGCCTCTTCGATTAGCGACAAGTTTTGTTCAATTTTTGGCGATGAAATAACTATTATGGTAACCAGAAATGGGGTTTCATCGCCAAAATTAGCTAGCTTTAGCTTCCCGATTTTTTTTAAAATGAAAATAGATCGACCTATACATGGACAAAGTTAAGGCAGTTCGCAATGCCTAGTTTGTGCAATTCTCTGATGTTTTTCTAGTGAAAATAGATCGATGTGTACATGGACGCCAAGTTTGTGCAGTTCTTTGATTTCTTACTTTGGTTTTGTGTAGCGGCTATCTTGATATTATGCCTTCCTGGCGCCGATCTTGGCGTCAAAAAAGAATCGCCAAAAAACAAGGGGCACCCAATTGTAAACTTTTACCAATTAAAGTTTCATAAAAGTCGATTAATGTGTCTCGAATGCATGTTGCGTTCTTCTGAACCATTTGAGATCAAAAACCGATAAAAGATTCAATTAAATTCTCTTTAAAAACATTAAATTCAATTAAAACTGAAAGGTCGAGTCTCAGGTGTATTCAGAATTTTCCCTACACGTATTCGAACACTTAGAAATGAGAGGATTGGATTATTTAATTATCGCAAAGCACACGAGGGCTATCTACCTAAAGGGAGGGATGCCTTCGTGGAGGACTTTCTAAGGAAAACTGGCTCGTATACATGTTACACATGGGGAAAACCACGAAAACGCCCATGCAGCCAGCCCGTTCGCTGGATTTGAACCTCGAACCGAACTACCAGTGTTCAGCGTCTTTACCGCTCGGCCGCCGGTGGGCCTTGGAAATGAGAGAAAATGAATAAAATACTATATTATGCGAAAATGACTACTTTAAGAAATAAAATTTGCCTAATTAAATGCAAATCCGACTTTCTAAAGCAATTACAAATTAAGGAGTAAAAAAAATTCACTTTTAAATTAAATTATCAAAACTAAAAAAATTCGGGTTCCTCGATTATGTGAACCTTAAACTTTTAATACTAAGAAAATGACTTTCAAACTTTTCAAACGAGATATTCATAAATAACATAAAATTCTAACCCCAGCCTTAATCAGGTGTCTGAAACACAAATGTGGTTTATTGAATCATACATTTCTTTCATTACTGCCAGGTGATTAATTTATTTATCGTCTCAGGTGCTAATGTGTATAAGTTTTGTAAGTGAAAGCTTGCTTCAAGTGAATCGCAATGGTTGATAGACATAATGACATGGGAGAGTTATATGCCCATTTCATATTATCTTATCTTAATCTTAAAATCAATAGGTGTTTCCAAAGTGGAAATCGATGAAAGGTTGTTAGTGGAAAAAAAATAATAAGAAGCCATATTTTCCTACACAGTGAGCTTTTAATGGATTTTGTTATCAAATTTTAAAGTGTTTCCTTGTTGTCATTCCTAATTATTCCATTTCATCTAATATCGAGGAAAGGCTATTTACATATTAGAATAGAAGTATTATAGAAGAAAAATGGTGTTGACTTGCAGAATCAAAAATTTAGCTGTTACAAACATTGCATGCATATTTAACATTTTAATTAGGTATTTATCCCAAAATCAGTCAGTAAAAATACTTAAAAGTAGATATTTATTTCTTTTGTTTTAGCGGAAATTTCATGGCAATTGCATTAAGACTAGATTTTAAAAAGTGTTCCCTTCAGTGATTTTGCAGCAAAATACTGTATTTCTGTAGACATTTTATTGCAGTTACTTCTGTAGCAGGCAAATTCCAAAAATGCATATTTTAAAATTGGCTTTAAGACAAAAAATATCGTAATTTTTCTAAAAATGCAGTTGGAACTTAAAATACGACAGGAAAAATGCGCATGAAAATGACGATGTTGCTTGAAAGATGTTAAATTTGAAGAACTGTTACGGGCATGGTTATCTAAAGAATTGTTATGTGCTTGATTTCCAGAGTTCGGCTCATTCTGGAATTTTGGTTGCATCTACTAAGGCGGTTGCACAAGTTCGTAAGTACCCGAGGAAAGGAATAAGTTGATATGGTACCAAAAATGCATGGTGTGGTTTTAGTGGAAAAGTAGCAAAATATTTTCGAGAATATTGAGGTAAAATATACCAACTCTGGAAATAATATGACTTTACAAATTTTCTAGTTATTAAAGATTATTACATATTTCTACTCAGTAAGGTCTTGCAGTCCTTTTAGTGATAATGTGATATTAAAAAATGATCATTGTTTTTGTGTATGTGCAGGTGCTTTTGCTGTATTTATCTGCCACAGATACTAAAAATAAAGTGAACTTAACCCTATGTTGATAGTGTGTGACGGTATTTGTTTGCAGTTTGTAATGCGAGATTAGAGTTTATTATGTGTGATATTTGTTTGTCTTTTCATAGGTTTATTATGTGGAACATTCATTATGTGAGGCATCAATATACTGTATTAAAAATGATTCGAATATTAACACTCATTGTAAATTTCCATAGAGAGCATTATGGAAATTGTATGCACAAAAATAAAAAGTGCTAGATAATTTTTGCAGGTTTTGTCTTGAATAATTAAAGTCAGTCTTTTAAAAAAGAGTCACCATTTTATTTCCCACACCAATAATCGTTTTCATAATTCACATTGCACCTGATCTCATCTTTACTCGAACACTAATAAAAATAAAAATAAAAATAAAATTCACTAGTTTGTACGTAATTTATATGATACATATTCTTTATTGATGAATTTTTATTGGTATGTTAGGATCATTTTCTCTTCTAAATTCAAGATTAGATGAAGATGGAATCAAAACGTTCAAATGTACAGCATTCTGGGGGATGTCACTGTGGAGCAGTTCGTTTTGTTGCTTTAGGTCCTCCTAGGGTGAAGGTTTATAAATGCAAGTAAGTAGCTATTCTTTTTGAAAAATCAGTGCTGTGATATCTGATTTCAGAATTAAGTATTTTGAAAATTTCTGTGTTGAAATAAAAAGTTTAAATTAGTTATTCCGTGCCTTGTTTCCCTTTATGCTGCCACAAATTTCTATGGAAATAATAAAAGCCTAACATGCCGTTAAATTTTATACGAAACTTAATTTATAACTTTGTTGAATTGTGGTTAATATGCTAACGTTATAAGGTTTAGTTTACGAGTATGCTGCAACCCTCCTGGTCGACAATAATCGGCCTCATGGTTAACGCAGCACACCCGACGCAGACAAACAAACAAAAAAATTTAAAGTCCTATTCCTATGATAGTCTTGTTTTCATTCACAATCCTCATAATTTCTGTTGCATAGCTATTCAAGAATTTTCTTTTTTCAATTACATTCTGTTCATTTATTTTTCCAAATCTCGTCCTCACACTCTCGGTCAGTTTACATTCTTCCATAAAATGAGCTGCATTTCCGTACTTCCCACAAGCCAAGCATTGATCATTGCCCTGGAGATTAAAACGGTATAAATAGGCCGGGAATCTACCATGATCCGTGATAACTTGAATAGTATCTATATTATTAAATAGATCCATTTTTCTTTTTATGGTCAAAATCCTCAAATAACCCTTATTTTTATTTGAACCATTCCATTCCCGAGCCCATTTCTAAATTATACTTGCTTTCATTTTTCTCAAGGTAATTCTTCTGGAATCATTAATAGCGTCATAAATATCACCCTCTCCCAGGGCAGCCTCTTTAGCTAGCATATCCGCCCTTTCATTCCCGATAACACCAATATGTGCCTTGACCCAATGAAAATTTACCATTTTTCTCTCTTACTTTGTTATAAATGCTTTTTATATCCAAAAGGAGTCTATTACTTGGTTCCGGATTTGCCAAGCCCTGTAGGGCCGAGAGAGCATCAGAATAAATATGTATTGTAAAGTACTGTGTTAAGTTTTTATAACTCCACCGCAGTGCCTCTCTAATTGCAACCGCTTCAGCTTGATACACTGATTTATTTCCTTCTAATCATATTTTTCTATTATAGATTTCGACTCCGTAATAAAAAATAACAAAAGCGCAACCAGTTCCACCTTCATATCCGGAGCCATCAGTGTATATATCAATCATGCCAGTATTCGTATAATCTTTATCGTACGGTATACCCTTGAAATCTTTTGGATGTATATTAATAAAATCTTTTCCTGTCAAGGCGTTACCATTCAAAACATCACCATTTTCACATGTTAAAATCTTTTTAAAACCATAGCTGAGTAAAAATTTTTTATAATAAAAGTTATAAAAAATTGAGAGTGGCGGAATGCCAGCAAGTAAGCAAATAACTTCTGTAGAAATAGTACGGAAAGCTCTTGTGATTGCAAGCAGCCAGCTCCTTTGCAATGAATCCAGTTTAGTTCTCAGTCCAATCAATTTTCCTGCCCGGCAGCCCCACATGCCAATACCATATAAAATTTTTGGCCTAATAACATTTAAATAAATATCTCTAAGGGTAGTGCTTTTTAACTTTAAAGTTTGTGAATCAAAGGTACTTCTATAATATTTTAAAATTTTCTCTATATCTCTGTGAATCGCCTTAAAATGTTCAATAAAAGTTAGCTTTTCATCAATAATCGCTCCAAGATATTTAAAGTGACTTTTAAAATTAATCTTTATACCATTAAATTTCAACTTTGGTTTTCTAGTAGCCTTACCACCCATAGGAAAGAAAATGGCATTTATTTTTTCATTGTTGAACTCTATATTTTACTCATATTGAGATAGGTTTAAACTGTCACTATAACTGGCAGGAATAAGCTTTATATGTTAGTTCTGAGCTGTAGCAAAGGAAAAATGCTGAAAGTGAATCCTCCTGATCAAAAGTGGATTATTGGGCAGTCTTTTGCTTTACTGGAAGATGATTGCCCATATCATGCTATGTTATTCAGATGATGCCTGGAAAATGATTCAGTGTCTGGACAACCAACTTCATTTGTTACAGCGGAAAATATTGCTCCTTTCAGAAATCCTGGGGAAGGCAGGTGTGCTACCTACTGCTATGTACGATATTCATGCACCAGCAATTCATATCGTTGTGCACAACCATCTTTAAGTTAGGAAATATGCGTTCACATTGGATACCTACTTTAACTAATGAACAGATGGCACAACCTGTTTTATGATCATTCTTCCAAATCTTTTATAGCAGATCTTGCGGGTAATTCATCATTTATCCAATACTATAACTGAGAACAATCTACATACATGCAGCAGTAATTACAATTCTTTCTTCCTTTATTATGCAGTATACATAATAATCAAAATCAGCATACGCAGTACCTGAAATACCATGTATGTTTGTATACCATGCTCTACCTGATTGTTTTTAACCATACATGCCTTCACAAAATCTGAAAATTGGCTTCTGTAGTTGCCTTTCTTTGTTAGTCTCCAATCTTTCAGTTATTTCCATATAGATTTCCTTAAACAAACGCAAGCCTTTGGCAACCAGCTTTGCTTTGAATTGTTTTAGGTGTTCCATTAGCATTATACTCGATCTTGAATACCCATTTTCTATTAACAGGCTTACAATAAGGTAAAAATGGTATTGCTTGCCGTGTTTTATTTCTTTATGAGCTTCAAGTTCTTCCGGTATTGTCGCTTTCTATTTTAAAGCATCTGCATGATTAAGAGAATCATTGTATATAAGTGGAACAAAGACCTTTATTCTTTACAGCATCATGCAGCGTATTAGATTTCACATTTCACATATTTAAACAAATGTTTACTTTTTTTTGTATTGCTGGTGAATCCTTTTCTTTCAGCTGGATTTTATGAAAAATATTAAAGTAAATATAAAATTTGCTTTAACCCTTTCCGGCACGCTACCTTTTAAAATTGGAGTTTTGATTTAAAAAAAAAGGTAGGCAGTCTAATTAGGCCTAGAGGAGTACACAAGTAAAATTTTGTGAAGATAGCACTTATCGTTTAATTCTGTGGGTGTGCCCAAAGTAGGCACACTGATTGAATAGAGCTTCGAAAAGAGTGCTGAAACGAGCATTGTTGTCAATGAACTGACCGATGAGATGAGGAGAAACAAAGAATACAGACTCTTAGTTGTCCTAGATTATCGGTGAGCCTGGTCTGGGCAGTTTATTTTAGGCAAGATTTGAAAGTAAAAATTTAAAACTAATAGAGAATAAGGAGATTAGCATATAGCCAAAAAAATAACATCGAAATTTCTTTTCAAACAATTCCTTTTATACCCTAAAAAAAAATCTGGAAATTTCTTTGAAAAATGAGGGTCTTAAAAACTAAACATGGATAAAATATATGGACTGGTTTGCGTTGAGCTGCCATCTACTATAAATAAAGAAGGTTCAGAGTAACCTATAGTAACCTATAAATCCTTGTTTATTCAATTTTTCTGTGCGTACAGAAAGAAATTTTTAGGTGTATCCAGACCGAACACACTGTGCCGCAAAGGGTTAATATAATGGTGTCTTTATTTAATGAAGCAGCTAAAAATAATGAAGCTCGTTGTAAAATACTTTATTTCTTCCTATGAAACAAATTTTAATAGTGTATGTTTTAATGAATTCCAAATTATATCTGAATGAAGGAAATTGTGTTGCAAATATGAAAATCTTATTCTTTGTGTTGTTTTCATGACATATTGAGTGACATTTGATGAATAATAAGAGAATTCGTTTATTGATATTTTAGTAACATAATATCTTCTTCCATTGAATTGCAACATGAATATTGATAATAATTTCTTGTTTATTTATAGTTTTATTGTATAAGCATTAATAATATAATATATTTATTATAGTTGCAGCATATGTTCAAAGAAACAAATAAAGGGATTTTTTGTTCCGCAAGAAAATTTTTCACTTTTAAAGGGAAAGGATGATTTATCTGAATATACTTTCAATACTGGAATTGCTAAGCATTATTTTTGCAAAGTGTGTGGTGTTCAGAGCTTTTACAAACCACGTTCAAATCCTACTGGAATGAGTAAGTATCATAAGGATGTAAAAATTTATTTATTTATTTCATAAATACAAGATAATTTTTAAAATTACCTTAATTTTAAAAAATAGGTTAAGTTGTTTTTACTACATTTCTTAAGAAATATTTACTTTTGATAGCAAAATACTTTTGCCAGTATTCATAAAGTCTTACATAACATTCTTTAATAATTATGTAACAGTCTTACATAACAAGGAAGGGAGGAACTGTAAAGGAAACAGTCTTACATAACATTCTTTAATAGTTATGTAACATGGTTAGTCACAGGCGATGATATCTTCATAATTTCTGAATGATTGTCCGATCAGTAGGAATTTCAAGTGAGGCAAAAGCTGTCTAGTAATGCTGAGAAGCATATGCAGATCATATACAGAAGCATATACAGATATAGACATATATATATCTCATAGCAGTATACAGTATCAGAGCGCGTAGGAGTGGAATGAATCATGATTTTTAATGTCAAATAAAAATATGAAAAATTTTCTCACAATTCAGACCCATGATTGCAAACCATGTAACAAACAAATATTCAAATAAGAATTCTTCAAGGAGACAGAAGTGTTCTTTTTAACTGTCAACTAAATTTTGAAAATTTTGTTAACTGTAGAAGCAATAAATAGGTGGAACGTAAGGGAAGTTCATTAATTTGAATGTGTTTAAAATGTGAAGTTTTAAATTCTTAACTACATTTATATGTCATTTTTCTTCAATGTGCCCCATTTCATTTCCGTGTGAATTTTACTGACAGCTATTTCCCTAAGTAATCAGATATACATTTTAAAAAAAAATTTTACTGTTCATGTGAATTTTTCTGAATATTTCCAAAATTAGCAGATATGCTTTTTTAGTGTTATTATTGCAATTTTTACAGACAACATTTATGAAAAATGCTAAAGTATCTTAAATTTAAAATGACTAGTTGAAATATTCATGACATAGCCATTAAATTTTACACCTGTTATTTGTCCAGCACGTTATAAATGCTACCAGTTAAAAGTGAATTAAATTTACCATGTAGCATATACCGAGTAAAACAGACTGACGTTTTCAAAAATTGATAACAGGAAAACGGCTAAGGTTAAAAAAAGTCTAGCAGAAAATTCTTATGACAGGGCATAAATGTTTTCTCTTAAAGTTCGTAGTTTTAGTTCAAAACTTTTCCGACACATGGAGCTGCAAATCCCTTCTACCGTTCTTTCCAGTTTTGAAGTCTGCAAGTCATTAAAATACGCATCCGAAGAAGAGTTTTTGACTTAAAAGGAATGTTATCTGTGACTAGACGAGCAGTAGAGAGTTGAACAGCAAATTCTGTAAGAAAGTGTCGAAATGATGTATTCGTTGGAGGAAAGGAATTTCTTTGTACTGGAATTCAGCTGAGGGGGAGAGAGTATTACAGAAGCAACAAGAAGCTTTCAATGCAAATTCCAAATCGCTAATAATTCGCAGACTAATCCAATAAAAACATGATGCGAGAAATTCAAACGAACGAGTAGTGTTGCGGTGGAGAAAGTCGGAAATGTTGGATGACACCGGTTTCTGCTATTACAGAAGCAAATATACTGGTCGTTGAGGAAACAATTGCACGTTGCCGATGCGTGAACGAAGTTCAGGTTTCTGTGGGCTCCTGGGTTAGAAAACCCTCATCCAGTCGAATACATGGATCTGTTTCCGAACTTTGTCGATCGTGAATGAAACATAGATAAGCATTGGGGTAAGGCATAAGTTATTTTTCATGTATGTTGTAGAAGATCTTGAGATTCAGTTCGAGTCTGGGAAGCAGAATAAGCAATATGGCAACGGGAACGTCGATTTAGGATGGTTACCATCGGAGAGTGCAGTTTTCAATTTTTTAAAAGAATGTTTTGATAACCTTGTGATTGCTTTAAATTACCCCTACTTCACAGGAAAGGGAATAGAGTGGGCACCGTATTCACCAGACTTGAATCCGTGCGACAGCTTTCTTTGGGATCACTTGAAGGATTCAGTGTACCGGAAAAATCTTTAAACACTAGAGAAACTTAAAGAAATAATCAGTGACGAATGTGCAGCCATACCATAGAAACTGTCTTCTAATTTCATTCCTCCGATTGCGACATGTGATTGCGGCTTATGGTGGACATTTCGAAAATATTATAATGTAATTTTCATTCAGCAAAACATTTCGAAGAATTGTGATGCGATTTTCAATTATTTTTCTTTGATTTATTTGTTTACTTTCTGTAGCGCCATCAGTCGGAAGATCTTTGAACTAACAGGAACTCTGGGAGAAAAAATGTATGCCCCGTCAACATGAATCTGCTGCAAGAAGTTTTTTTTAACCTTAACCGTTTTCCGAAATCAACCGACAGATTTTGAAAGCTGTCAATCTACTTTAGGACAAACGGTACTTTGTGATTTTAAATTATTTCTTCTTTAACACATTAAAGACCAGCATGGGCTAAAATTTATGTTTTTAGTGCTTGTGACTAATTACTGAAATTTAAAAATAAGTGTAATCTTATAAATTTCACTGTTAAGTTTTATTAAAGTAATACGAAAAAAATATATATTTAGGAAACAAAGAGAAAAAAATTTAGAAAACATCAAAATGTGTTATATTTTCAAAGAATCAATCTTTAATTCGTCAGTCAACATTTTAATCATTAAATAATATTTAATCATCTGCAGACCGAATAAAAAATATGCTAACTTATACTTGGACACAAACTATGGAAGAGGGGAGGAAATTGATTTTGTTCGTTTATGATAGTTATTCCCCTTTTTGTTCTTGCATTTTTCAAATATATTCATGTACATTCAAGAAACAACTGAAGTACTTCTTTTTATAATTCTACTGTTACACATACTGTGATAGATAAAATTCGAAGTTTTGTTATTAGTATTTAGGCTTTAAATTTTAAATTATACATGATATAATTAATGAGTACTTATGTGCATAATAGGCTGCAATATTTCGAAATCATATTTTAATGAGTAATTTAAAGTAATAAAACTGTACTTTAAAATTAAATTTAAGGAAAGCTACTATATTGTGGTTGAAAAAAAAGAGGTATAGTTTGATATCTTTCGTTCCAGCTGATCCATCTAGAAAATTTAAATTCTATTTTTCGAGTTTCAAAAAGATGGCTCAAGATATATAGTATATGTGCATGTGTACAACCATGTGCTAACATATGCGTTTTGACACAAAGTCGAACTTTTTCTGAACTGACATGCTGACTCTTTCACCAACAGATAATTTTATACTTACATACAAAGTTTTGTAAAAACCACGTAGCAGTGATTTGTGTTCAAATATGGCTTTTTGCCTTGTGTGTGAGTTGTGATGGGGTGGAAGGGTGTAACTTGAATTTTTGCTTTATGTTAACTTTGAGCTCCTTTTTAATACTTCAAAAATGAACACGCTATAAACTGTACAGAACTTTGTTATGCATATTAATTCTGCATTTTAATAGCAACAATTTGGTATTTTGAAGGGGAAAAGCTGAATTTTTCTATCTAAAGTTGTAGGATCTTAAGTTTTACTAACGTTTATTTTATTTTAAATCTTTACTATCACTTCTTATTTTCTACTTCCGGCCAGAATTATAAGCGTTAAGGTTTTTTATGCAAAGTTTTGTCTGGCGAACGCCAAGTATTTAAGTGTGGCCTTTTTGCCAAGCGAGAGAGAGGAAGCAGTGAGAGTCGAAGCAGGCCGCTTACCTTAGAAGTTACGCAGTTGCTGTTTGCCTTCCAGGCCAGAGGTTTTAATCCTCTTGATAAATTTAAACGTATTGTAGTGTTCACAGTCTCTGTACTACATACGCTTCCTGTTAATTATAAGGCCAATCTTCCACGTTTATTATTCTAAAGTTAAATTAGAGTTTAGTTTTATTTTTTATATCTTTTACGTTAGACCCCGAGTAGAGGGTCATTGTATTCCGAAGTACGGAAGTTATTGTATATAGAAAAAATAAAGGGTTTTGTATACCCTTCGTCTGTATCCTGTCTACTTACCACAATTAGTGAACATAGCTTTAGTAAGCTCTCTGTTCCGAGTCAGGTCCTTGTATGTTCCCGAAGAAGGTTAAGAAGGAAACATTGAACCTGATAGTGGCGCCCAACGAAGAAGAATAACCATGGCCGAGTTTCAAGAAGAACCTGTGCTGCCTGCAGAAACGGCTCAGAATCCAGAAATGCCAGCTGCCGCCCTGGAAGGATTTGGTTACATCGTCCAGACCATGCGCGCTTCGATGAAACCAGAAGCAACATTTAATGGAAACTCACCGGTAACCAGTTTTTTGGAAAAATTGGATGACCACTTCATGCTCTACCCCGTGCACGAGTTTCAAAAGTAGTTACCTTAGCTACCAGCGCTTTGAGGGGCCAAGCGCTTAACTGGTTCAAATGTATAGGCAGAAGTCTCTTGGGTCAAGCAGGAAGTCCCACCTATACTTACGAAAATTTCAAGACTGCCCTACTAAAAGCCTTCCCTGTTGTAAGGGATCGTGCGAAATTAGAAACGGAACTTTTCAGTATATATCAACAAAGAATCGAAAACCTCTCGAGCTTTATTTTAAGAAAAATTCACGTTTTCAAGCTCTTGTATGGAAACCGTCCGGATCCTGAAATAATTCAAGTGATTTTGCCGAGGTTACTACCCCAAGTGCAAGACTTTATTGAATTAAGAAATCCGACTACACTGGAAAAGTTATTTGAGCTAGCAATCCAGTTTGAAAGTAGAAGAACGGCGGACGTCGAAAGAAGACGCCAATATCAACAGCGAAACCAATTTGGTACGCCAAGACTACAGCAAACTCAAGCACACGGCTACGGAGAAAAAAAGCGAATCAGTGGGCAAGGAAACCCGAGCATTCAAAAACAGCCGGCGAACGTCGACAGTTCAATAGCAACCCAGGAAAAAAGTCTCAAGGCCAGTGGAAAAAGAAGGAAAGCACGGAAAGGAAAAATAATTTAAACTAAAACGGATTTCTGCTGACGAG